AAAAAAAAAAAAAAAAAGGAAAACATTTAATTGGAGCTTGCTTGCAGTTTCAGAGGTTTAATCTATTGTCATCATGGCAGGAAGTATGGTGGCATGCAGGCAGGTATAGTACTGGAGATATAGTTGAGAGTTCTACATCTGGATCCAAGGACAGCAGGAAGAGAATGTCGTTAGGCCTGGCTTGAGCTTCTGAAACCTCAAAGCCCTCCCCCAGTGACATACCTCCTCCACAAGGCCACATATGCTCCAAAAAGGCTATACCTCTTAATAGTGCCACTCCCCATGAGGATCATTTTCCTTCAACCATCATAATAGGTGATTCCCACTTCTTCCCAGGAACTAATGTGGGGTAGCTTATAAGGAGGTGCTAAGTGTTTAATAACATGTTAATGCAAACATAGACCATGTGATTTGTTTGTTTTGTTTTGGGTTTTTGGTTTGTTCATTTTTTGAGATAGAGTTTCTCTGTATGGCCCTGGCTGTACTGGACACTGTGGTTTTCTTAATAATATTTGTGAAAAAAACTTGATAGAAAGCTCACAGAAGATAGAAACATCAATCAATACATCAGTACTTTAAATCTGGGAAACAGAAATCATGAAGAAGTAAAAAAGAATACTTTAGAGCTGAGGATGTAGCTTACCTAGTTAGTAGAGTGCTTGCTTGCATGCCCAAAGCCCTGGTTCAATTCCCAACATCATGTAAAACCAGGTGTGATGGTGCATGCCTATAATCCCAGTGTTTAGGACGTGAGGCAGAGGCAGGAGGATCAGTAGTTCAAGTTTGAAATACATGAGACTATCTGAGAACAAAAGGAAAATAATATTTTAAATATTGGTGGGTGCAGGGGATCATTGGAACCGTCATGGAAGGGGGGTTGTAAATCCATCTTCAAAAGCATGTATTGTGTGCCTTTGCTATCTTTTGGTGGTGTTTCTCTGGGCTTCAGAGGCTGTTGAGCTGGTCTATGCAGCAGGACAACCAAAGGGTTCCCGGCACCGTGGTCTACCTCACTACCTGTCTGCCCTGGTTTCTGTGAAGGCCATCTAACCATCCATTTTGCTTTGGTTGGTTATGCCAACTGGACCTTTCACCACATTGTGGCTATTCATAGTGTTCAAGAGATGGCTGCTTCAAGGAGCAGAGAAAAACTGGTTATCCTCAACCTGAACATGATCCAGCATTGGATTGGCAATGGTGCTGATCTCTCTAAGCCTATGGAGAAATGCCTGGGTCTTTCTGACCTTTTCCCTCTGCGTCCTATAATGATTGCAAATGCTGGGAGACATCAGAGGAAATGAGCATCAGAATCCTTTTAGCTTCTTGAAAACAGAATCAGAAACCATAGTATCAGAAACAAGCTGACAGAAGTGAACACAGCAGGGGGTTGAAAGGTCAAGGGCCCCTAAAACTCTAATGTAGAGCTCTTCGTTGGATTTGATGGTCAAAAAACCATGTATTTCAGAATGTCTGCTGTGCTTGTTGGATTTGAAAGGTTTTGTTCACCTGAGTTTTAACTTGCTATCATAGAAGGATGCTGTGCAGTGGTCTCGAAGTGTAGCTACAGCAGATGGAGACGAGCCAGAGGACTCAGCTGATGTGGAAAGCTGTGGGTCTAATGAAACCAGCACCGTGAGTGGTGAAAATGATGGTAAGTACTAGAACAAGAGGTGGGAAGAGACCAAGCAGTTCCTAGGGACTAAACTTTTGTTTTCCTGTCTTCTAGTATCTCTGGATGAAACATCGTCGAATGCATCCTGTTCTACAGAGTCTCAGAGCCGGCCCCTCTCCAATTCCAGGGACAGCCACAGGGCTTCCTCACAGGTAATGAGGTGCATTGGTGACAGGATAAGAGTGGGTAGGTGAGAGCAGGCACATGATAGGGTTCTTTCATCTTCAGCAGATGGTCCGGAGATAGCTTTGAAGAGTGAAGAGAATAAAGTTGGTTGTTATTTCAACATTCTACTTTATTTTGAGACAGGGTCTTGTCTTACTGTGTAGTTCTGGCTATGTAGTCTAGCTAGCCTTGAACTTGCTATGTAGACAAGACTGGTCTTGAACTCAGAGCAATCTGTTTACCTCTTCCCTTCCAGTGTTGGGATTAAAGATACATACCACCATACCCCACTCCTAGTAACATTTTTAGAAGCAGCCTGTAGAGAACTGCTTATTAAGCCTGAGAGTAGTGCCTAGGTAATTATGTGGATGGTTTTCTTGTTGTTTTGGTTTCTCAAGACATGGTATCTCTGTAGCCCTGGCTGTCCTAGACCAGGCTGGCTTCAGACTCAGAGATTCTACTTCCTGAGTGTCTGCCTCCTGAGTGCTAGGGTTAAAGGAGTGGGCCACTACCACCCAACTGTAATTATGTTTCTCCTTCCTCCATTTCTCTCTTATTTTCCTCAGCCCTCATAGAGCCCAGGCTAGCCTAACTTGCTGTAGATGTAACTAACCGTCTTATTAAAATAAGAAACACAGAACCAATGTAAAAGAGAAAGCCGAGAGGTCAGAGCTCAGAGCTAAAATCTTACCTCCTGCAGTGCTCCCAGCTTCCCCAAAAGAGAGCTACTTCCTGTGTGTCTGTCTTTAAATAGTCTTTCTGTTCTGCTTTCTCGTTGGTTGTAAACCCAAACACATGACTGCCTCATCACTGTAAGTACCACCCTCCAGGTCTTAAAGGCGTATGTCTCCAATGCTGGCTGTATCCCTGAACACAAAGAGATCTACCTAGCTCTTCTACCAAGTGCTGGGATTAAAGGCGTGCGTCACCACCACCATGCTCTTGCTATGGCTCTAATAGCTCTGACCCCTGGGCAACTTTATTTATTAACATACAATCAAAATCACATTTCAGTACAAATAAAATACCACCATAACTTGCTATGTAGCCAAGGATGGCCTTGAACTCCTGGTCATCCTGTCTGTGTCTCCTAGATGCTCCTAAGTGCTTTGATTCTAGGTGTGTGCGCCATCATACTTACCTCATCCTGTTAGTTCTTACACCATGTTTGTAAATGTCCAGGAAGAAGTCACAGTGCATTGAGAATATGAGAACATGTACTTGAGAGGCAGCAGTTGGAAAGATGAGCCTGCCAACTTCCTTTTCTTCTACAGTGCTGGGGATTGGATCCAGGGCCTTGTACAGGCTAGGCAAACACTCTATCACTGAGCTATGTACTCGGCCCCCTGTCACTTCCAGCTGTGACAAGTTCCTTATCTATAGATGGGAACAGTAGTATATGATTACTTTTTTTTCTTTGTTGTCAGCTGAGGGAGTGTGCTTGGTGCATTGATATTAGACCATATCTGTACTAACATTGCCTGGGAGATTTGTGTGCGTGTGAACTCCTTTTTTTCTTTCTTCAAGACAGGGTTTCTCTGTGTAGCTTTGCGCCTTTCCTGGAACTCACTTGGTAGCCCAGGCTGGCCTTGAACTCGCAGAGATCTGCCTGCCTCTGCCTCCCAAGTGCTGGGATTAAAGGCGTGTGCCACCACCGCCCGGGCGTCAACTCTTTTTTTTTTTTTTTTTTTTTAAATATATATATTTTATTTTATTTTTTATTTTTTTTTAAGATTTATTTATTTATTATGTATACAGCATATGTGACTGCAGGTCAGAAGAGGGCACTAGATCTCATTACAGATGGTTGTGAGCCACCATGTGGTTGCTGGGAATTGAACTCAGGACCTCTGGAAGAGCAGTTAGTGCTCTTAACCACTGAGCCATCTCTCCAGCCCCTCAACTCTTTTTTTTAAAAGATTTATTCCTCTTTATTTTATGCATATGAATGTTTTGTTTGCTTGTGTTTATGTGCACTGTGCACTGTATATATGTTCTAGAGTGGGGCCTGAAAAGGAATCAGATCTCTTGGAATTAGAGTTACAGATGCTTGTTAGCTGCCATGTGGGAATCAAACCCTGGTTCTCTGGAAGAGAAGCCGGTGTTCTTAACTGCTGAGCCATCTCTCCAGACCCTAACATGGGGGGACGGGTGTGTGTGTGTGTGTATGTGTGTGTGTGTCTGTCTGTCTGGCCACAGTTTGTGGAGTTGAAAGGACAACTTCGGAGAGTCAGTTCTCTTCTCCCCCTATTGGATTTTGGGACAAAGGTCATCAGGTTTGTGCAGGAAGTACCTTTAGCCATTGGGCCCCTTCACATGAACTCTTAGGAGTGAAGGAGTAGGACAAAGCCAAAGAAGTGCTGTAGTGGCCCTGGGATGACTCCTTTCTTCTTTTAAATCCCTCCTGGAAACACAGGCAAACAAACAAAAGAAAAAGACGGGGGTCATGCTGCCTCGTGTCGTCCTGACTCCTCTGAAGGTAAACGGGGCCCACGTGGAATCTGCATCAGGTATGTGTGGCCTCGGTGGTTGTGGTGCATTTTCCTAGGGTCTTGGATACCTGGCTCGGTCAGCAGCCTTTGACTTAGCAGTGTGATACCAGTAGAGTTGTTGAGTCCAAGAGCCATGAAAACTAACCCAGGAAGGCAGTGTATTGTTGTGGTGAGGGCTTTGTGTTGGGTTCTGTCATATACCCTCCTCTTGCCTCCAGGGTCGGCTGTGAACATCTAATGATAACTTTGCCAGTACTTGGTAGTTTGGCGTAAAAGCTGTGGTTTGCCATTCTTTAGTGATATTTTATTAGGTGGTGGTCTCTGCTAGCCAAGGGCTGGGAGCCAGAAGCATATCAGGGAGAGCTGGGATAGCTAAACTTGTCTGAGAGCCATGGATATAGCGTGTGATGCTTTTGACCAGTGGAATGCTGTGCCCTCAGGGTTCTCAAGCCGTCATGCTGATGGTGAAAGCGGCAGCCCATCCAGCAGCAGCAGTGGCTCTCTGGCCTTGGGCAGCACTGCTATTCGAGGCCAGGCAGAGGTCACCCGAGACCCTGCCCCGCTCTTGAGAGGCTTCAGGAAGCCAGCTACAGGTGAGTGGGTTAGCACATGTTGCCTCTACCTATAAAAGAGCCCCCTGAAGGTAAAAGTAAAAAGATGGTTATCTTCTCCACTTTTTCAGTTTAATTTTGCCTCTTGGGTGTAACCTGCTATATTTTGATTTTTTTTTTCCTCTTATTTTGATTATTCCATTTGAGTAAACTCCTGTAGGCAGAAATAGACTCACATTGCTTCTTACCTGTCACTGTGGGGACTGGTCTGTACCTGCCTTGATATTGTTTCATAAGTGTTTGGATTGCTCTCTTCTCCGTGAAGAATCCCTACGTCCATTTTTGGAGGTGTAGCATCCTGCTTACAACTCAGCATCAGCAATCAGTCAGACGCTCCATTGTTTTAGCCTAGGCCGTGTGTTGAATGGTGGCATGTGTTGGATCTGGAGCAGGCAGACAAGCTCAGTGAGGCTGTCTGCAGGACTAGTGTGCTGTTGGCTATTTCAGGACTGCTTTCTTAAGGCCCACCAGCTATGGTTGTGTCGTAGTTGGGCTGTGTGGAACTGTGTGAAGACCAGCTTTGGATTCTGAAAGTTAGACTGTGTCATTGCCAAGTGGAAGTGAAGTGAGCCTTTACTATTTTGATGTAGTTACAGTTCAGCAGCAGTGCTTAATCCAAGATGACCAGGTCTCTTACTTATAGTGATTTTTTTTTTCAAATAAAAATAGCATTTGCATACATCAGAGAGGTAAGACCCTTCACTTGACTTTTAATAACCCTTAGTACATGTCTGCCTGTAGAACATACCTCTTTCACAAAGCCTTCTGTGTAGGTGTTTCTGTAGTCCACTAACTACCTGGCTTCTCCAGTTTGGCTTTGTGGAGCTGGTTCTCTAATCTTAGTGGGAAGCTTAGAACCTGCCCTGTCTGATTTTCTTGGGAAGAATGTCTTCCTCCCTTTGGCTTTGATCCTGGGGGAGGCAAGCCTGGGTGTTCGTTCGCAGGATCTTTTTTTGGGGGTGGGGGGTTTAAGCTGAAAATCTATACCCTTACTTCCAAAACTGCAGGTCAGATGAAGCGCAACAGAGGGGAAGAGGTAGATTTTGAGACACCTGGGTCCATTCTTGTCAACACCAACCTCCGTGCTCTGATAAACTCTCGGACCTTCCATGCCCTGCCAGCACATTTCCAGCAGCAACTCCTCTTCCTCCTGCCTGAAGTGGATAGACAGGTGCCAGTGCACACTTCCTCTTGGTCTCTCTCTGTCTAGGCGGGCTCCTGTGCTCTGCAGTTGCCTTACTCTTCTCATTTTGTCCCTTGCCCCTCCTAGGTGGGGACAGATGGCCTGCTGCGCCTCAGCAGCAGCGCACTCAATAATGAGTTTTTCACCCATGCAGCTCAGAGCTGGCGGGAACGCCTTGCTGATGGTGAGTAGACTTGTCACACATGGCTTGAGAGGCCTGTCGTGTGGTATTTTGTAGCTCTGAGGTTAAGAGTATTACCTGCAGCTGGGCGGTGGTGGCAGCCACCTTGAATCTCAGCTCTCGGGAGGCAGAGGCAGGCAGATCTCTGAGTTCCAGGACAGGCAGGGCTATACATAGAAACCCTGTCTCGGAAAAAGAAAAAAATGATGTTGCCTGCTCTTCCAGAGAACCCAGTTTCAATTCCCAGCACCTCCATGGAAACTCAGAATTGTCTATTACTCTAGTTCTTGGGGATCTGATGTCCTCTTCTGATGTCCTCTTCTGGCATCCTCCTAGGGTGTGAGGTACACACATAGTGCATGCATTTACATGCAGACAAAACACCCATACATGCTAAGCTAAAAAACAACGGAAGCACCATTACCTCTCAGGCTTTTGTCTAAAATCAAGTGTAAAATCCAGGTGCTCATTTTGACTACGTCTTTCTCAGAGGATATTAATGTAAGGTAGGCTTTGCTCACAGTACTAATAAATGTGGTGTTATTGATAGGACACACTGCTCTGAAAACGCAACACCTTAGGGATATCCATTCTACATGTTCTTTTTACTATTAATAATATATATATCTATACCTTCTGGTAACGGATTGTTACCACCTCAAGATGACATACTCAGTGCCACCATGCTCTTTGTGTCATAGCTAGAGTAAATGCTAGTGTCTTTGAATTTAGTTTTCTATAGTAACTTCATGATAAATGTGTGGAGAGGATCCCTAGACTACCCCTGGGTTTCATTGTTATTGACAGTTTATATACAGAGCTGGGACTTATTGCAGCAAAATCATATAAACTCATATAAAGTAAAATCAGCAATGGGAGAAGGCATAGGTTTCTGAAGTCCTTTCTGTGGAATCAAGCAGGACATAAATGAATATCTCAGAAGTAAATTGACAGTGTGAAAATGTCTACCTGTGAAGTTTGGTAAAGACTTAGTACCCAGGATTTTATGTGTATATGTATGTGTATGTTGATATGTGCACATGAGTCCAGGTGCCTTAGAAGCCAGAAGTGTTAGATTCTCTGGAGCTGGAGTTACAGGAGTTGTAAGCCACCTGATACAGATTTTCAGAACTGAACTGTTAACCACTGAGCCCTGGTACCCAGGATTTTATTGGGACTGATTCTGTTGAAAGCCATTGCTAGTCTTAAAAGGAAACCAGACACTCATTTTCCTTCATCTTCTTTATCAAGAGGTATTAATACAAGACATTGGTGCCTAAAAAGAAAGCAGATGTCTTTAGTATGAATAACATTGTTGGCATCAAGAGCAGCCCAACGAGCTCCTCTTCAGTTAGGGTGAGCGTGAGAGTACTTGAAGTCCGCGTTCCCAGATCCCACCAAATGGGCATCCTCAAAGATAAAGATTCAGGTCTGCAATGGTAACGTTCTACATAGGGAGTAAGGATGGTTCTTCTGGTTGCTCATTGTTTTGATTAGTGTATTGCTTGCTCCTGACTAGTTATGGAGGAGTAAATATTTCTTATAGTAGAAGTGTTAGTTCTGTCCTGAGCATGCTGTGGAAGGGCCACTGATAGAGACAGGAGTTACATTGCGTTTAGAACTGCCTGATAGGGGCTGGAGGTGGGCCTGTTAGGAAGATGCTTACCAGGTAAGCATGAGGACTTGATTTTGAAGACAGACAGACAGACAGACAGACAGACAGACAGACAGACACACACACACACACACACACACACACACACACACACACACACACACACACACAATGTGTGGTAGCCTGCTGCCCCTCAGTGGCAGTCATCAAT